TTTTTTTTTTTTTTTTTTATCCCTCCCAATTGAGGGAGAACCAGTGTTTGGCAGTCATTTTTCTGCTGCCTTAAAAGTGAGGAATAGGATTCCCCCCCAAACCTGCCAGGGGCCTGGCCAGGCAGTGATTCGCCAGGAGGGGACTAGGGGACTAGGGCCAAACCACTTCCTGTGCTAAACTGTCTTACCAAAGTGATAAAACACCAGCAGTAGTTTTCTGTTTTCCTGTAAATTATGCTAATTGACTTAATCTGGAGAAATTTTAACCATAGCACAAAATAGGCTGGAGGCAGTGTCTTCTGACTGAGCCCTGTAATTTCTCTTTACAGAGGTGTACCGGAGGCGACAGAACTTGATCTGGGCCGGGAAGGGGACAGATCCGGGAAGGGTAACGCGGGGCATTCCAGGTGAGAGAAACATGTGCAAAGGGGCTTCTGGAGTGGTCCAGGAGCAGGGAAGAGGTGATTACCGTTTATTAGCTGAGAAGTCTGAACAGGAACGTTAAGAAATAAAACAGCTAAGTGACTGAGGGCCAAGTTCTAGAGGGAGCTTAGACTCATGAGGTAAACTATAGTGTGAATTCAGTGATGCTGTTGTCAACGGAAAAGAACCCAAACTCTGTACAATAATTTAAAGAGGTTTATTCTGAGCCAAATATGTGCTGCTATGGCCCAAAGAGCCACGTCCAAGAAGACTTGAGCAAGTGGTCTTGCTGTGGTTGGGCCACAGTTTGGTTTTATACCTTTTAGGGAGACAAGAATTACATGTAAAGTCATAAATCAATACGTGGAAGGCATACATTGGTTTGGCCCAAAAAGGCAGGACGTCTCGAAGCGGAGGATTACAGGTTTTAGGTAGGTTTAAAGATTCTTTGATTTGTAATTGGTTAAAGAAATGAAGCTGTGAAAGGCTTAGAATGTTTTAAGTTAAGGGAGTCTGTTAATCAGAGACAAGCTAGAGCATATGCAGGAACTCAATTGATCTGTTGAGTAAATTGACGTCCTGCAGGTGGGTTTAAGCTTTGTCTTACATGGCCTTAGGCCTGTTAATGATTTTGTATCTTATTGTTACACAGAATAACTCCAGAAAGGACAGGGATAACTAGGCTTGTCTGACCACCCTTCTCCTCATGGTCAGCAACTCAGCGTTAAGATTTTTTTTTTTGGTTGTGAGGGGGATTCTCTTGGCCAAGAGAGGGTCCATTCAGTTGGCTGGGAGGCTTAAGATTTTATTTTAGTTCACATTATGAATCATTAATTAGTATCCCTCTGAAAAGTTATGAAAGTGGTTTAAGGGTGACTAGCCTGGCAAAGATGTGCTGTTTGGATAGGAGATCCTGTGGGAAGATAGACAGGAGGAACTGGAAAACTACAATGTATTGCCATATATTTTGTTACCGCTTACAAGAGGAACTTTAACTTTGGGGAACTTTAACTATGAGTTACTTCTGTTCAAGCATATATAGCCAAAGTGACTAAAGTGAGGAAAAAAAGAAAATGTAGTCATTTATTATATTTAATTTTTTAAGATG